CTTAGGAGAATGTTCCCCGTCCAAGTAGGTGTTAATGCGCTCAAATCCATCCCCCGAGTAAGCGTGGTACACGCGTACGGGCCCGCCAAAGTCTTTTTCGGGTAAGTTCATAATTTGGGGATCTGAGAAGCTAGAAAGCTGAAATTTCAAGAGGATGTTCCCTGTCCAAGTGGGTATTAATGAGTTCAAACCCTGCCCGCGGGTAAGCCTGGTACCTACGTACTGGCCGTGAAAGTTTCTTTCGGCTAAGTTGCTAACTCGGGAACGTGAGAAGTAAGAAGATTGGAATTTTGAAAGGATGTTTCCTGAAAGTCCTAGCGGCCAGTCTGAAATTCTTTTAGCTAGAAGCATCTGCCGGAAAAACCAGTGCCGTTAGTGAAAAAAATCTGCGAACTATGCAAAAAACGCATCTTCGTACGGGCAGCTCGTGCGTCGGCCAATTATTTTTCGCATGGCTAGCAAAAGTGATACTACACCCTTTGTATGTGTATATATATACATATATATATATACACATATGTACGATGTATATGTACATATATATACACATACATGTGTGTGTACATATATATACATATATATATGCATATATATATGTATATATATACATATATATACATATGTACATGTGTGTGTACATATATATATACATATGTGTATGTACATGTACATATATACATGTATATATACATATATGTATATGTACCAAAACTGCTCAGGCTAGTAGCATGGATATTCCATGGAAGCTCTCAGCTGCCGAGCGCAGCTATGCCAGGCTCTTCGATTCTGGGCTGCATGCCACCAGTTATTACTTACCGCCTGTTCTACATATGTGTGGTGTGGTTTACTTCAGGGGTCGTCCAAGTGTGGTTTATTTCCCCGTGAGCACTACTCACTAATGCGCATTGTCCACCGGTCATCAACAAGGCGAGTAACATGCCCTGCCCACAAAATTTTACTTTCTCGCGTGGAAGCAATGACATTTTGAACGCCGCTCATTTGATGGAGAGTCTGACTGACTATATGGCCAAGGAGAGATACGCCAAGCTTCCACTGCTCCACCGCCTTCCCCGTCACAGCCAGCGCCCGCTTTTTAACTTCCATCAGCGACCATTTTTTCGCATAAGTACGTAATTCTCCGTTAAGACAGGGGCAGCTGTTAACTTCTTTCATATAAACATAGTCTATCTACAACCTTGCCGCGGGCGTACCGACACTTTACATCACGTTCGTTTTCGATGCGTTAATTTTCAGGCCCACTTTCTTACATCGTGCGTAAGATACCGCAGCGTTTCATCTATTCCGCGAGGAATACACGCAATGAAAATTGTGTGATTTGCGAAGCGCAGATGGCTTAGCCGCTTGATATTTGTATATGTGTATTTCCACTGGATTTTATATGTTACATAACATATATGATATATATACATATAAAATTCAATGGGCAAGTCGTATATACACATATTTATATACACAAAGGGGTGTTGC